GTGCTACAATTTCTCCCCTTAAAATATCACAGGCGGTCCTGGTTCCCCTAGTAGTCTACAACATTCCGATTCTTTTCTCTGCGTTCTGTTTCCGTTGCTCATACGATTCTGTTTCCGGCAGATTTATCAGAAATATAGGGCCTAGTAGACTGTCTTAATATAGAGTAGTAGACGTAGATATTATGACCACTCCTGCGTGATATGACGAGAACCTGCCGCATACCCGCCGCCATATGTTATTTGCATGATGGAATATACTTCTGTAATTACACCTACTGTACGTGCGTGCTGGTGCGGTTTGTGCAACAGATTGATGCGTATAGGGTTACGCGTGGAAACTGGTGCTGACACTCCTGCTGTAGGTGTGAAGGCTGTAACGATCGGTAGCACCCACACACACTGCGCGCGCACACCACGGCACACACGGCACAAGGCGCGACACGATACACCACATCACCACACACGCGCTGGCGCGCGCGCCACACGCACACACGACACACAAGCGCGCGCACACGCCACACACACACACCGCACCACACACACACAACACACACAACACATGCACAACACCAGATCTCACACGCAGGCACTACACTAGCACACACACACCACACACACACCCATGCCACACCACCATCATAGCTCGACAACATCACACAGCTCACAGCGGACAACCGTGTCGGCCGGCCGCAGGCTCACCCCCCCCCCCACACAACACAGGCTCACACGAGTTCACACCAAACAGCATCACACACACCACGCACACACACTATACAACAGCTCACACACACCCTGCGTACGTGTCAGCGCACGTATTTATAGCGCTACAGGTTATCCGTATCTCGTATATAACACCTTTCGTTTACTCTTTTTCACTAGCTTCTTCATGTGCCCCAGGGGGCCGCAAATGCGTCCCGTGATATCAAGAGTAGATTAATTATAACAGATGTTAATAGATATATATATTATTTACACTTGGTGATTATACACACTGCGCGTAATTTCAACCGATGCCAAAGTTATTTCACGAGAGAGTCGCCACACCTTTGTGAGTGAGTGGTGAGTTGTTTGGCTGCGGCTATGCTGCTGTGTTAAATCGTCGTCTATACTGTACGGTTGGTGTTTTTATTGCGGTATGCTTATGATTGTCTACCGCGTGGTTCATGGAGAGGCTGCCAGCGAGCCAGGGGCAAACACCGGCAGCAGACGGAGAGTCTGGAACACGGTTTCCTCAATAAGGCGCAGCGACGGCGCCAGTTCTCGGGGCGCAAGATCTGAAGGAAGAACGCAGCGATCCGAAACCGGCGACGATGAAAGAAGTGGAAGTATTTCATTCGGGAAAATTCTTAAAGCATTAAGAAAACTGTCGTAATGCTAACAGAGCGCGCCGAGAGCAGTGGATTCTTAAAAGCAAAAAAGGTGAAATGTTAAATTTGTAAGATTGTTTATGGCCTGTGTAGATGTCTTGAAGCAACCGGTTTCTTGACTACGTAAAATTGTATGAATCATTGATTGGTTTCGGTTCGAAGTCAATTCCGGATGAGTTCGATCGAGTTAATCGAATCTACTCGATTTTCTGCCGTGATTGTTCTTGCTCACCATTCTTGTGCGACCTAGAATGCAGGACGATGTGGCTGGCGAAGCAGGGTCGCTACGCCTTCTATAAACGCTCACGGTACCATTGACCGGGTCCGCGGATTCTTTCAAAATGTGCACCTGGTATAACGACACGACAACACACAACATGCACATATAAGCGACATGTGTGATTTGAAGTGACACCTTTGTAAGTTTTGGCCAAATCTTGTAAAACGCGTACGCTATACGAATGTATTCGTTAACTGAATACAACTAAATACGTGATAGCGTTCGTGCTCAAGAATCTTGGCAAAGCGTCGTTTGCGTTTCGCTGGACTCTAATCGCTGAGCATTCTTTGGTGTTATATGTCTTTCATTGTAGCCCAAACTGTCTACGCTTTATTATTTTTATCCAGCTAAAGCCAAAGAAACGCACGGATGTTTTGCCAAGGATTTTGAGCACGAACTTACTATGCTAGTCGCATGGACATCGCATACACTACGTACGCGCTGGCAAGCCGCACGCACACCACACACACGCGCACACGCACGCACGCACGCACGACGCGCACGCACTGCGCACACACAGCACGCCGCACATACACGTGTTCACACGCACGCACGCACGCACGCGACGCACGCACGCGGACGGCACGGCGCACGGCACGCACGCACGCACGGCCGCACGCCGCACACACACCACACACACACACACACACACTGCTTCCACCTTTAATCAGCGAGGTCTTACCTGTCGCCGCTGCGAACCACGTTGTAAGGTATACGATCGCACACAGCCACATCACGCTCGTAGCAAGTGTCACCAGATACCAGTTCCTCCACCTGGGTTTACGGCAATCTGGAACTAAGTATAACGAGCAGCCGTGTACGAGCAGCGTCAAACCTGTGTTAGCGGACACCTTTGTAGAACGGACACCTGTCTATAAAGGACACTGTTGCTGTTTAACTTGAGTGACAATTTGTCCAGTGAGGCCACTTCTATAGAACGGACACCTGCCTATATACGATAGTTATCATTTGTCTCGAGTGGCAGTTACACGGTGAAATCACCTCTATAGAACCGACACAACTGTCTATAAGGGAAACTTTTGGTGCCTTTCTTTAGTGACGCGTACAAACAACTTTGAGCTATAACCGCGAACGGTTTCATGGATTCAAGTATTAAGTGTTTGATCCACTCCAAGCCTTTTCATTATAGTGTTTCATCAGGTGGCTGGTGTAAGTAAAGACGTGGCTCTTAAATAAAATAAAATAAAATAAAATAAAGGCTCTAAAATAACGAAAGTCATATCCCATCAACAGAGTAGAACGTCAGATACCGAAAATAAAACTAAGAAATAAAAAAATGAAACGTAATACGAAAATCTATACCTCTGTTCGTACACGCAGTAATCAAGCTACGTTTACCCCGTTATCATGTATTAATCGTACCTGTTATGGCCAACAGCAGGTAGATGGGCAGGAAGAGAACGCAGCAGCAGCGTCGGGCACAGCTTGTTGGACACTTGAATAGAGAGGTGGTTGGCTCCTTGAGATGATTCCCAGCTGTCACAAGAGTTATAGGCAACATGATTGAATAACAGAACTCGTAATTATGCCTACCTCCGTGCATGCATCTACATAATATGTAAATATACATAAACATATATTCAAATCGGTAGTAATATAGAAGGCACAGATTTTCTCTGCACGGGCATAGAGGAAAATACTCGCAAAAAGTAATATCATGTTTCAGTTGAGTAAGTGAAGGACAGAGAAACGGATGCGCAAGTAATAAATCTGAACAAATGCAGTCGCCATTTATTTCTCGGCAGCGTATCTTACTAATATACAACAAAAACTTATTGTAGACGTAACGGCTACTGTAGTCTGCTACAATGAAGCTATGCGAAATATGATTACATACAAGTGAATCTATATTCAAAAGCTCGATATGGATTCATAACTAACTATGGGCATCTTTCACTAGTACTATTACTGTACCAAAAATCTGTGACAATGACAGTGACAGTATTATTGTCTTCACTGATCATTTTGTCTAAACACCACGTTGACTCTAAGCCCAACCTACCAGACTGTTGCTTGTTAGGCACTTCAGTCCAAAATATCCGGTAAAATTCCGAGTACTTTCGTGATTTATCTGCAGTGTCACCTACCAATTCAACTGCGGAATGGGAAATTTGCATACATACACAAGTATTAACAAAAATGCAGCCGTACACAAGTATAACGCGTTTGCAAACTTCCCATCCAACAGTCTAAGTGTATATATGCGCTACAAACTAGTTACTATACGCGCAGGAATTATTGAGGTCTAACTGAATCTAACCACAAAACAGGGCCAATAATAATTCACACACACCCTGCGTACTGTAGCGCACGTATTATACGCTACAGGTATCCGTATCTCGTATATAACACCTTCGTTACTCTTTTTCACTAGCTTCTCATGTCCCCAGGTGCCGCAAATGCGTGATATCAAGAGTAGATAATATAACAGATGTTAATAGATGTTATATTATTTACACTTGGTGATATACACACGCGCGTATTTCAACCGATGCAAATTATTTCACGAGAGAGTCGCACACCGCGCGTGTGTTGGCTCGGCTATGCTGTGTGTAAAATCGTCGTCTATACTTACCGTTGGTGTTTATGCGGATGTTGATTCTACCCGCGTGGTTCATGAGAGCTGCCAGCAGCCAGGGCAAACCCGAGCAGATGAGAGTCTGGAACACGTTTCCTCCAATAAGGCCAGCGACGGCCATCTCGCCAAATCCTGAAGGAAGAACGCACGACGGAACCCGCGAATGAAGAAGTGAAATATTTCAATTTCGGAATTTTAAAGCATTAAGAAAACGTCGTAATGCTAATTTTAAAACAAAAAAGTGAAATGTTAAATTTAAATTGTTATGCCGTTAATGTCTGAAGCAACCCGGTTTCTGACTACTAAAATTGTATGAATCATTGATTGGTTTTGTTCGAAGTCAATCCGATGGTTCGATCGAGTTAATCGATCTACTCGATTTTCTGCGTTGATTGTTTTTGCTCACCATCTTGACCGACCAGAATGCAGGAGATGGTTGCTGGCAAGCAGGTCGCTACGCTTATAAACGTCAGGTACATGACCGGGTCCGGGATCTTCAAAATGTCACCTGTATAACACACATACACATGCACATAACGACATGTGTGATTTGAATGACACTTTGTAATTTTGGCAAATCTTGGTAAAACTCGTACGCTATACAATTGTATCGTACTAATACAACTATAATACTATAGGTTCGTGCACAAAATCTTGGCAAAGCTCGTGCGTTTCGCTGACTCTAATCGCTGAGCATTCTTTGGTGTTATATGTCTTTCATTTGTAGCCAAACTGTCTACCTTTATTATTTTTATCAGCTAAAGCCAAAGAAACGCACGCGAGTTTTGCCAAGATTTTGAGCACGAACTTACTATGCTAGTCGCATTGACATCGCATACGCACGCACGCGCATGCAAGCACGCACGCACACCACACACACGCGCACACGCACGCACGCACGCACGCACGCACGCACGCA